TTCTAGTACATCTATACACCATGATGTCCAAATGACACAGCAAATGTGTGCCCTCAAATATTTTTTGTTTCTTTATGAAAGAAGGATTAAAAATCCTGTCCTCTAGCTTGTTTACAAATGCACAGGAACTACTGGTACGTACAGTAGCCCCACTCCTTGTGCAATAGAACATCACTTCTTTCTTACCTAAATAAAATTCAGTACCTGTTTCCAGCCTCTCTCTATCCTTCCCTTCCTGGAGGTTTTATGAGAAAAAATCAATTATAAATTATAATCTAGCTGTTATAAACTATACATATATTTCTCCTTTTAAAATTATGTCTCATAATGAATTCCACTTCTTTGCTGAATCAGTAGAGAATTTAAAAGGCAAAAGAGGAAAAGTTTATTATGGGGAAGGAGAGAATTTTCTGTGACGTGAAACCTTTGAGGTCACCCAGTGCACTAAAGTTCTGAGCTTGAAAATTTTGAGTCAAGCAAATAATTTGCATGTTTTTGAAGATCTCAGGTGATTCTGAGAAAATCAGCCCAGTTCGGGTCTTAGAGTGACAGTTCTGAAGCCAAATCGGATGAGAAGAGGAAAAACCCACAGAAAAAGAGAGACTATGTGGTAAGACAGCATTTATTTCGATTAAATTATATGCACAGTAAAGCAGCTTTTGGGAAAAAGTGCAAAAACAAAAGCAATACACATCAAATACTTAGCACAGTCCCTTAGAGGCAGAAAAGAAAACAAGAAATAGGAATTAAAGAGAACACATATGCATAAATCAGAAGCATTAAAGGAATAACTACTGAAAGCGAAATGAAATTTGCAAGAACAGTGTCCACCAGCAAGCATGAGGAACGGTTTCTTCACTCCAGAACCAAAACCCTGGTAATAGAGCAGATGATGAGAAATGCATCAAGCTGAATGCTCCAGTGAAATGCTCATTTTCCTCGAATACATCCTGCATCCCAGAGGATGTGATGTGCTTGGTCTGTTTTGCCATTTTACATATAAAGAAGCTAAAGCAAGTGTCTTTTTCAAATATAGGCATAAAACAATTCATTGATTCAATGAAAGAAATTCAGCAGTGATCTCATTATAAAGAGACTGTGTCGCTGAACTTTACCTTAAATTCCGCTATAGGCAGAGTGACTACAATTACTAATAAAATCAGGACACTTTGGTAATGAAAGGGGACACAATAAATAATTAAAATCATTTCATTTACGAAATACTTATTGATGAGAGAAGTTATGGTGGTACATATAAAATATTTCTTTTCCAAAAAAATTTTTAAAAAGTGTAACTTCTTCATATTTCTACCTATATGCAGGTACAAATTCCTTACAATGAATACAATCATTATGTATGGTAAACATGTACCAATAGAAAAGACTGAAACAATTTTCTTTAAAGAAAACATGTCACTGTGACTCATGCAGGCACACGGCCACCCCGTTTATATGTGAGACCTCAAGGCTTTGCCTTGACCTCCAGCAACAAAGACAGAAGTCAGGGTCTGCAGGTGGGAGCGGAGCTGGACAGGGCTCCAGACGGGATTTCCAGGGACAGAATAGAGGACAACGAACCCAATGGAAGTGCCCAATGGAGAAAGAACAATGGTGTCTGACTCTGAATGGAGGAGGTTTTTCAATAGGCCACTCTGGCATTAAAGACTAAAATACTCAGACTGAGAGTGTGAAGAAAGCTAGGGCTGGCCCTGGCATGAAGACATACAATTGACTTTACTAGCCATGGAAGCCGTAGGGGCTATACATACAAAGAAATCCACTGCACTACGTATCTCATTCATGTAGCCTGGGCAAGACTCTGGATATCACTAATGTTTAGTGGCAAGGCAGGCACAAAGACAATGCATTTTTAGAAAACTAACAGTAAAAGAAAGTGGCTGTACAGCCACATAGTAGGCATCAAGATAATATGCTTTCTGAGACCTGAAGGGGATGATCTCCTTAAGGACAGCTATGAATTTTCTCCTAGGGCTTCAGAGATGCTCTGTGTCTGTAACGATTCCATTTCCACTTAGGAAATTCTGGCCGCCCTCTGCCTGCAGTCCTCATCATCATCCTGACTGCTGCCTCTGTTCTACTCCTCAGAGCTGACTCTGTGCTTTCCTGTCGTTGCTGCTGACACTGGCAGATGAAGCCACAGGCAGCAACCGTGAGAGGTGAGTTGCCGTGTGGGTGCCCTTAGCTGTGTTAACTGAAAGGAAGGAACCGTCTTGGGGAAAAGAAAAGAGGAGCAAAGTGAATTCCACTAAGGAATTATGCTTTAAAGCAGGCTAGAGGAATTGGAGTTTTAAGAAAATGGGTTTACCACAAAAAGATGAGGGAGAAGAAGACAAGAGAAATTGAACAAGGATGGAGGAAAAAAGAATAAAAGTTATGAAGAACATGAAACTATCTATTTACGTGCCTTATAAGTACATTAGTTTTCTCACCTTTGGCCAGAACACTAGCTGAGATGCTCAGTGACATACTAAGGATTCATTCAAAGACTAAGCTTTCTAAAAGAGCTCGATATTCTCACACAGAGGACAGACTCCGATAGGCCTTACTCTAGACACAGCAGATATGTCGTACGTGGTGCTTCACGACATCCCAGGGGAGAGGATAACACGCTGCTGGAGAAGAGGCTGACCCCCATTGAGCAGCAGAGTCAGAAATGTGGATTTCATATTTCTCCATACGCAGAAAACCTCTGAGACCTGCAAGTGCATGAACATCTGAAGCAATTAGAAAGACAGACAAGCAAGAAATAATACAAAGAAAGCAAAAAGGAGTAGTGAAGGGGTTGGAATTGTGTACATGTCCTAGAAGGAGAATCCAGAGATGACTCAGGAGCAAACATCCGGGTGAGTGGAAGAGACAGAAGACTAAGGAAATTCAGCTGAAATTTTGCACAGCAGTGAACAACCAGTACTCAGTGTACAAGCAGTGTACGTAAGTGCAATTTGAATAAAGTGATCAAAGTAAGAATCAAAATGCCTTCAAAAATGGCTAGAGTTTGTTTCCAGAAAAGTGACAGAGATAAGGACTGATGAGCATTTTGAAAGAAGGCAAACTTTGAAATTGCTAGCTTTGCAAGATCATCAAGGAATGGGATGGAACAGGGCTTGTTTTGTTCTGAGATTTTTGCATACTAAGAGGAAGTGCCCAATGAAGAAAGAACAAATGAAGATTCACAACAGCAAAAGGACCACCAGTTCTGGAAGACTTACTAATAATTAGATCTAAGCTTTGTATTGTTTTGGTTGTGTCTCAGGCAACGTTGAGACATGCCCAACACACAGCAGTCCATTTTATTCTCATGACACTCTCATGAGGTAAGGACCATTAAAAGCCCTGCTGTTAAGGGGAGCAGAAGGGCCTTGTTGAGGGTAAACAATGTGCCCGTAACACCATCTGCAAGGGAACCTTAGAAGAATGCGCTGCAGTCAACATAAGATTAAGATCTGTTGCACACCTTCCATAGCCCCACAGGAGGAGGGACTCCAGAGACTGAGAAGTGATGCTCCTTGTGGTTCTACAGGGAAAGGTGCAAAGGTTTAAGTTTGCAGATGAGAGCAATCAGTAAAGCTGTAAGGTCAGTTTGGGGAACAGTGCTAGGGTTTGGAGAAAGGTTAATCTAGATGGCAGATTTGTTTTACATTTGCCTGCAAGTGTCTACTAAAAAAAAATCCTTGATAAATTAATATGTTATTAGTGCAATATCTACAACACAAGGTTTTTAAACATAGATATCAAAATGCATTGTTCCTCGGTCTGAAAAAGCATAAGCTAAATATGAATGAAAGGCTAAGTTTATCCTTGTTCAACAGTTCCAGAAAACAGCAATGAGATATCAAAAGAATGAGTTATTTCATGCAATTGATATCCATAAAATATAATCATAACCCTATCATAGATGATATTTTAGAATAAAAAGGTTGAATTATCAGAATTATTAACTAATAACTAAGTGGATTTCATAAATGTTGTAAGCATTAAATCACAGAGAATTTCAGATAATATAAAACCTTTTTTAAAAAATCATGCTTTCCCTGGAATACTGCCTTTCTTCAAGATCAAGAGTAAGGCACAACTAAGTCATTAAAATATCATTCCCAACTTTGTTAGGGATTAATATTTTTAAATTGATTAATTCAGTTCTGATCATCATAAATAGCGTAAAACATGAAAAGCTAACTCTTTCTTAAGTAATACTGTTCATTTTCCACACCCAAAATTATGCTAAACCAATCAGTTGGTTGATTTAGTTATCACATTCTTAATCTATATTCATACACTGTAGATCTAGCCACCTCCAAAACCCCCACTTATGAATGCATGAGGCTGGTGGTGGGTCTCTAAACATAGTCATAACAAGTATGGACTGCTTGCTCCTAAAAAAAAAAAATATGACTTTGTTCCAAAGCCAACTGTAAACAGTTTTTCAGGAAAATCTTCTTTTCCTACATGTATTCTCAGATGTACTGGATCTGTACATATAAGTATATATGCTACATACTGAACACTTTGCAACTCTTTATCTAACTGCTATATATTATGAGTCAAATGAACACACTTTAAAACAAAATGTTAGTGTTATTTCACAGTACTTACAGTAACCCTAAGTATTTCTCTGCTCATTGACTATCATTGTAAGTACCTATTCATCAAGTCACTGCATTTTAAACAGCTTTTAAGACATTGAACTAAGACTAGAATACAAATTAGTGATGGATTCTTATAAAGTTTTGGGAAAGCTTGGCATGAGGTTAGAACATGAAACAGTGTGAGACAAAACAGGAAACGACTTTAAAAGAAAAAAAAACTCATTATCTCTCAAGGGAATGTTTTAGCGTAGACATTTCATATTTTTAATACACTACATTTTTAATCTTTAAATATTCTTAATCTGCACTTTCTCCAAATTAAAGTTTCAAAAGCTAAGCATAACGAAAGTTCACAGCACAGAGCAATTCCCGTTGCACAGAGAATTCTCTCACCTTGTCACATGCGATGTGGCTAAAGAGGGCGTGAGAGCTCTGCTCGTCATGCAGGGAGGAGGAGGACAAATGACCGAAGGGCCCTGGGCTAAGGCAGTCGGTGTGCGAGATGGTCTGTGGGCGCAGCAGAGACTTAGCAGGAGGATATAGTTTAGTCTGGTATAAAGGATGGAGCGAAACTGGCTTGGGAGGGGCTGTCACGTCCTGGGAAGGAGAAAGGCATAAAGAGTGTGTTAGTGGACCTAGCACACCTTGACTTAGGTCTCTGATAGAGATGTTTCAGGAGTGTTAACTAAGTAAGAAGAAAATTTCTATGGAAATGTCCCTCACAAGACACCCGCCTTCGTAGTGTGTGGTTTGTCTCCTTTAGTGATTCCCATCAGTGACCCACTTTCAGCTTCTTCCAAACAGCAAAAGGAAACACTGGAAAGAATCTTCGGAAAGGAGCTAAGCTTGCAACTCTGGAAAATACCGAGGGAACTTCATAAGGAAGAAAAGAGTCTCTCCAAAGAAACTGGCAGGCATTAGGGATCAGGAAGGAGCGAGCCTAGAAGAATGAATAAGGCCTTTAATTCTAGGCTTGATGTCTTGTAGAGCACCAGAGCAGCAGCCAGCAAAAGAGTTCAACAATACAGAGGAGAGGTTCCCAGCCTGCACTAAAGTGAGACCCTAATACAGAAAGGGGGTGAATATAAAATACTGTGAGGAATAAGAGCTACTAACTGAGACCAGGGACTACATAAATGCAGCATGGAAATCACAACCCTGAGAAGCCGTGAGCCTAGAAAGCAAAATTATGTGAAGAGTCTAAAAACACAAACATTCCAGATCTACTGCTTCAGAATCTACGGTGCTGAGTAAAACTCTTTTTACCAAGCTGTCTGGAGATGCTTGTGCACAATGGAGTTCAAGAAGCTTGGCCTTCACCCTTTACACCAATATTCAGGTCTGCCTTGGAGAGCAGCCTTCTCAGCTTCCTGAGGTTGTGGTTTTCTCCACGATGCCATGCAGAGAACAGGCATTTCCACTGATCAACGAACAGCATATTTGACAAGGACAAACACGAATATTTTATATACTAGGTATGATCCATGGACTTTATCACTAAGCTGAATGATTTCTGTCTCTCTGCCTTACTGCTGAACAGTGCCAGTCTGCACGCCATCACCTGATTAGGGAGCTGAGCATGCAGCATGCCTGGCTTAGCTCCGCTGCAAGCTGGGGTGGGAGAGAGCTCTTTCCTCACCCTCTGGCATGTGGTACATCTGCAGCCAATGGACAGTGTGACTTCAAATAAAGCTATTTGAAGAGCTACGCTCATTATAAGTGTTTTATGAATTGGAACTAATCTAATGTCCAATGCCAAGAGAATGAATCAAATACAGTATATTTATGTAATAGAATATGAGGAAGCTGTCAAGAAATGTTGTTTTTGAAAAAAATACATATATCTATGAAAGGAAAGGGCTTTCTCAGACATAAACACAACTTGTACAGTATTTATGAAGTTTTATGTGCAAAGATAGAAATTCATGGTGATTACTCTAGAAAAAACTCCATAGGACATGAATTTTATGACATGAAGCCTGTTTTACTCATGTTTGTGACCTCAGAGCCAAGCACAAGGCATGAGATAGTAAGTGATTAGCGCATTCATGTTTGAATTTTAAACAAATATGACATTTACTGTAATGTATTCACATGTCTCTGGATCATACGCAATAAAGCAATGTATCTTGCAGTACGTGGGACAGAAATTTAGTATAAAATTATACACATTGATTAAGATGGCGTTCCACTAACACATAATTCAATGCTAACACAGTATAATTAGTATCTTTCAATGTAAGCAATATACTTAAGTCGTTGATTTTCTAAAATTTATGCTGCGTGTGTCTGCTACATCAAAGATGTCCTTTTTATATTTTCAAGTAGCAACAACAACAACAAAAACCTTAAAAACTTGCTTTGAAAACTCTTTGGAAAATTTTAAGATCAAAAATAATACTGCTAGAGGCTTAAAGTTTGTAGAACCAGAATCTTAAAGTCTTATACATTGGAAAGGTAAGCAGCTGGGCCTTATTCCCACTAGTTCCGTTTTCTCTTCAAACATTTCTTTTTACAAATGCAAGTATATATATATATGTATATATATATATATATATATATATATACATATATATATACACACACACTTCATATACACACAAGTGTACATTTTCTATAAAAAGACAGCACCATCTATATAATCCTGTATTTTATTTGTATTTTTTTACAGTTTTGTAGTATTACTTATCAGCAGATGAAAGTATTGATTTACTCCCAAGCCACATTGAGTTATCTTACTAATTTTAGTTACCATTCAGTCTACTGTCTTAGCTCTAGGTATACCACCTAAAATATCAAGTCACCTAACACATTAGTAAGTGTATCTTCTCTCTGCTAACTAATATATTTTTGTTTCTTTTTTGCTGTTGTTTTGATTTGTTTTTTGTCTTCACTTTTGGTCTAATTTCTCTAGTTAATATTTCTAATATTGTTAACCAATAGCCACACTAACAGTCAATTTAAATGGAACACAGGTAATATTTGTCCACTGAAGATGGTAGTTTTAGGTTGAACTATATTGCCATTTTCTCTTATTTCTCAATCACATATTTTATTGTTATTAACACTAATTACATATTTACTCCATATAAAGTGTTTAATATGAAATTAAATAGCAAGCCAAAGACTAAATATCCATTTTAATTGACAGTTGAGGCTGCTCGGGAAAAGGTGGCCTGAGCTTCACTGGTGTGTAGCCAAGCTTCGGTTTCCCTGGAGAGTTCAAGAACTCATCCTTAGGAAGTCAGGAGGCAAAGCTGTGGTGATCCATGGAGAGGACAGGAGACCTGTACGCAGGAGTCAGGCGGGTCGTGCTCTGTCCAATGAGGAGGAAAGTGTTGAACACCGGTGCACAATTCTGTGTTTGTACTTCTAAGTTCACTGTGGCCAGCCCAGCTCTCAGCAGGTCAAATATGCAAACGTGCCTGAGCCACTTTCTCCTTGCTGGGACAAAATATTCCACACCCACAATTTAAAAGAGAAGTTTGTTTAGGCTCAGAGGTTTCATTCCATATTCAGCTGGCTCCAAAGTAGACATGGTGTGGTAGAAGGCCAGATGGCAGGAAGGGTACTCACATCATGGTGCCAGAGAAGCAGAAAGAGAGGAGAGGAGGGGAGGACACACGAGGGGAGGACAGGGGAGGGGAGAGAAAAGTAAGGGAGGGGAGGAGCTCTGGGAGAGAACACACCCCTCAGTTCACATCCCCAGGACCCTCCTCCCACCAGGCCCCCCTCCAAACAGCACGCTGGGCTATGGAGCTAGTTACTGACGATTCCCCTGACAGGTATTGTGACCCCATGTTCTGATCACTTTCCAAAAGCCCTGCCTCTGAAAGCATGAGAGTCTGAGGGGAGGAATCTGGGATCTAACCCTAATGATACTTCTGCAGGATCAGGTGGTGTCAAAGGTTTACTCGGGCTGTTGGCCTGGGAGGGAGAGAAATGTTTTCTCAGAACTTGGACAGGCCAAAGAGAGACAAAGGTTTTGACCATGCTTATTCAAGTATTCCAACGGTGAAAAGATCCTTCAGAGACCACAGTCTCAATGTGTGTCGTCTGTTCTAGCTGGCTTCTAGTGAACACAGAAATCTAAATGCTGCATTAATTTCAGCAGTGTGTGGGCTCTAAAATTTTCAACCCTGCAGAAGCAGAGACTAGAATAGTAGTGGCCAGGGCCTATGAAAAGAATAATGGGTAACACTGCTCGCAGGTGGTGTAGCTGCAGTGACTCCCAGTAAATAAGTTCTGGAGACTTGATACACAGCAATGTTACTATAATTATCATATTCATATGATACATATCATGTATCAATGTTACATATAATTATAATATCAATTATAATTATCAATATGATTCCATCCCCTTAAATTTGATAAGAAGGTGGATTCTTACTATAAACTAATCAAGTTATTAACACTTCAATAAATCTGAAGAAAAACAAAACATTGAAATTTATTTTGCATTTTTCCTGTGCCCAATGATTCACTGAGAAGCAAAATTTTCTACTACAGATTGCAGGGAATTTTTGTGTTTTCTTAGTTTGTTATTAATTTATAAATTTTTGTAATCAGAAAAAAAAATTGGGTGCTCACTGCTATCTTAGCAATTATGGGTTCCCCTTTTGGCCTAATACAGATTTTTTGTGAGAGTCCCACAGATATTAAAAGAGTAGTTGTTTGGTTGGTTGAGGGGGTTCTGTGGGATATAGAGTCCAAAAATATAGTATCAGATTTACTTTAGATGACCTGTTTTCACTTGCTTTTCCATTTTGTCTATCATAAACTGAAAAAACAACAGAAATGTTTTATCAGTTACATATTTTTACTTGCTTATATTCCCGTCTCTTCTGTTCCTGCACTAATGGTGTTCTACTTGGATGTTTTGGCTCTCTAGTGATTATATTTTCCTTATACAAAACATTTGATCCTCTAGCAGTACAAGGGGTCTTACTTGCTTTACTTAAGGAATTTCTGCCTATTAGGAGGGTGAAAACCTTTCCCTGATTTCGGAGCACTTTGTTATTCTCAGCTGATCTCGATACTGCATCAAAACTTTCAGGTTAGAGATTCATTGTGTCTGTCACCCACTCTGGAAGTCTTTTCCCTTTTTTATGTTATTTATTTCCATAGCACATGGATCCTTCCTGGACCAGATGTTCCTCAGCAGGTCCCTGGGGCAAGGAGCCTCTGATCCCCAAGTCTCCAGGGTCTGGGGTACGGGTTGGCTAGCCACTCCTTCCAGTGGAATAATGAGGGTTCCACATAGGAGGAGGTCTGTGTGCAGCTCCCCAGAGGAGCTGGGCTCCGTGAGTGCAGTCTCCTCCCTGGTGTCTAGATAGCCTTGCTCCCCTGCTTTCCATGAAGAAACCAGGCCAGGGCATTTTCTGCCGCCAGCATATACAAAACACCGCCTCGCAAGAAGAAACCACCCAAGGTCTGCATGAACGCAGAGTTGAGGCTTTTGGAAGGTGACAGAACCATGGGCAACATGGTTGACTGGCTGTTACACTCCATCCCCAGCTCCTCCTTCGTCTTACTGTTCCCTGGCCATGGTGAGGCCAGGTCCTCTCCTCCGCCAGACCCTTCCTTCCTCATCC